AGTACCATTCTATAGGTGGTGATGTGTTAAATGGTACTAACTGTTTTAACACATCATTACCTACAGAATGATACTAGCTGTTTTAACACATCACCACCTACAGAATGATACTAGCTGTTTTAACACATCACCACCTATAGAATGGTACTAGCTGTGTCAACAGAATGGTACTAACTGTTTTAACACATCACCATCAACAGAATGGTACTAGCTGTTTTAACACATCACCACCTACAGAATGGTACTAGCTGTTTTAAAACATCACCACCAACAGAAATGGTACTAGCTGTTTTAAAACATCACCACCAACAGAAATGGTACTAGCTGTTTTAAAACATCACCACCAACAGAAATGGTACTAGCTGTTTTAACACATCACCACCAACAAAAATGGTACTAACTGTTTTAACACATCACCACATACAGAACGGTACTAACTGTTTTAACACCTCATCACCTACAGAATGGTACTAGCTGTTTTAACACATCACCACCTACAGAATGATACTCGCTGTTTTAACACATCACCACCAACAGAAATGGTACTAGCTGTTTTAACACATCACCACCAACAAAAAAACACATCACCACCAACAGAAATGGTACTAACTGTTTTAACACATCACCAACAGAATGGTACTAGCTGTTTTGATGGTGATGTGTTAAAACAGTTAGTACCATTCTGTTGATGGTGATGTGTTAAAACAGTTAGTACCATTCTGTTGGTGGTGATGTGTTAACACAGCTAGTACCATTCTGTAGGTGGTGATGTGTTAAAACAGCTAGTATCATTGTGTAGGTGGTGATGTGTTAAAACAGTTAGTACCATTCTATAGGCAGTGATGTGTTAAAACAGTTAGTACCATTCTATAGGTGGTGATGTGTTAAAATAGCTAGTACCATTCTGTAGGTGGTGATGTGTTAAAACAGTTAGAACCATTTCTGTTGGTGGTGATGTGTTAAAGCAGCTAGTACTATTCTGTAGGCAGTGATGCATTAAACAGTACCATTCTATATGTGGTGATATGTTAACACAGCTAGTACCATTCTATATGTGGTGATATGTTAACACAGCTAGTACCATTCTATAGGTGGTGATGTGTTAACACAGCTAGTACCATTCTATAGGTGGTGATGTGTTAAAACAGCTAGTACCATTCTGTAGGTGGTGAGGTGTTAAAACAGCTAGTACCATTCTGTAGGCGGTGATGTGTTAAAACAGTTAGCACCATTCTGTAGGCAGTGATGTGTTAAAACAGTTAGTACCATTTCTGTAGGTGGTGATGTGTTAAAACAGCTAGTACCATTCTGTAGGTGTTGATGTGTTAAAACAGCTAGTACCATTCTGTAGGTGTTGATGTGTTAAAACAGTTAGTACCATGCTGTAGGTGGTGATGTGTTAAAATAGCTAGTACCATGCTGTAGATGGTGATGTGTTAAAATAGCTAGTACCATTCTGTAGGTGGTGATGTGTTAAAATAGCTAGTACAATTCTGTAGGTAATGATGTGTTAAAACAGTTAGTACCATTCTGTAGGTGGTGATGTGTTAAAACAGTTAGTACCATTCTGTTGATGGTGATGTGTTAAAATAATTATGTGATGCATTGTTGAAATTAGTAAGGTACTTGAAGTAAACAATTCTAGAACTTATATTTTGATAAGTATCCAAACTTGGTTTAGCGACATAATAGTCTGTGTTAAACCTTAAATATAGTCTAACTAAACAATGTGAAGGCTAAGTTATTACCATGGGTATAGATTGCGGGCAATCTATACCCATGGTAATAACTTAGCCTTCACACAAAATTTGTGTGAAGGCTAAGTTATTACCATGGGTATAGATTGCATTTGTGTGAAGGCTAAGTTATTACCATGGGTATAGATTGTGTTTGTGTGAAGGCTAAGTTATTACCATGGATATTAATACATGTCTTGCAAATGTAATTAATTGGTTTTGTATTTGCCCTTGTTCAAACCATTTTATTTTAAGTTAAACACTTTATTTAAGGACTGTAGCTGTAATGTACAATCATTTAATTTCAAACATATTTTCAATTAGTTATTTACAATTTGTTTGATTCTTTTCTAACTAGTTATGCATCTTTATGGAAAGGCTGCCTTACACTATACACAGGGAAAGGAGGAGATATTCAGAAGATTGGAGAGTAAGATGACTGATGTATTTTTCCTTGTGATAGATTTCAGTAATGTGTAGCAGTTTTAGGAGATAACTCCCACCTTAATGATATAAAAACTGTGTAATATAACTTCATGTTTTATATTTTGGGTTACATTTTTTATGAAGTAAAAATAGTTAAAATTTTTTATGAGTTGGACAGATTATTCTGAAAAAAATCGAAAGTTCAATGTTATTTGATCCCAAGGTATTTAGAGTTGATTCATTATTTTGTTTGTGACAGAAATAATTAAATGGTTTAGGTTTTTATTTTGTAGGTTTTGTATGTTATTCTCCGAAACTCCTAACATGAGTGAACCAAATCCAGAATACATGCAACAGATTCAAGTTAAACTGGTGAGAAATACTTAATAATTGACTTTTTTATTTGTGAATTTGTGAACAATAAAACTTGTGAAATAGTATGAAAATTAGACTGGTTTGTAAATTTGGATTTAGTCTATTTGTTTCTGTTTTGAAAGATTTAATTCACTGGTAATTATCTTTAACATCACGATACTCATGGACAGCTTCATACAACTTTGTCATATATTAGATAGTTGATTCTTAGAAAGTCTTCAGCCCAAACAGTTCAGAAGAGTTAGAGGGGATCTGATTGAAGTGTTTAAGATTGTTAAGGGAATTGATAATGTTGATGTATTATCTTTTTCTGTTCTTAATGGTGAGAACAATATGGTCAGAGAACACAAGTATAAATGTTGGTTTGGTAGGAGTCATCTTCAGCTATGACAGTTTTATTTTTCTAACAGGGTAGTTGGCCTTTGGAATGTGTTACCTTTGGATGTTGTGGATGCAGTTAATTTAAAAGAGTTTTAAGGAAAAGTTTAATAGATATTTGAATGATAAGGGTTAGCTTTGAGTAATATAATGGATGGGGGACATCTTGTTAGGACCAACAGGTTCCTTTTTGTTCTTAAATGTTATATATATATATGTGTGTGTGTGTTGTTGTTGTTAAGGAAATATTTCTGTAACATTTCCATTTTTTTTAATGTATTATTTGATAAAACTTTTTCATTTTTGTCAATACTGGTCAACAGTTTTGTTGGAAGGATTTTAAGGTTGAAACTTACTGGAGTTTGTAACTACTACAGTTTGATATTTGCTACAATTAATAACTAATGTAATTGACACCTTTTTTTTTGCATTAAGTATGCGATAAATGTTTCGCTTAACACCCTTAACTTGTAAGGTATTAATATTTTTCAGGATTCTAAAACTTTTGTTTCAGTTTTTGTTCAGTAGAATTATACTTCATACATTTGACTAAATCTGAAAGTTATTCTGTAAATTTTATAAAAGTACTTTTTTTTGTGGTGTGCAACAGCAAGGAGGGGAACAACGTAGGTCACCAACTCTACAACAACCAATCACAACAACACAGACAGTTATAACACAAGGGATGACACCAACAGGTAATTTTTAGCTTTTATCTAACCAGTTTCACTTTATCAGTAGATTCTGTAAATCAGTCTGTGGTGTTACCTGCTTACTTCAGTTACAGTGATGTTGCCCGCTTGCTTTTGGTTACAATGACGTTATCTTACCTACTTGCTTTCAGTAGATTCACATTTTTAAAGATTAGTAGGGAGGGGGATTGGATAGGAATTTTACCCTAAGATTGGGAAGTTTGGTCTTCTTTATATTTTAAAAGTTGTAACTGGTTATGAACATGAAAGCAAAATCTATCTATCGTTAATTATTTGGAAAAATTGTTGGCCATTTTATTAATTTAAAAAAAAATTGTCACTAACTGGAATGGAAAATAAAATTGCTTAAATACTGTATAACAAATGAACATTTTATCTGTATGTGAAATATACGTTTATTGCAAATTAAGACAGGAAATTTGGATATTTAGTTTATTGTAGAAAAATGAAATACTTTTATTGAGGGAATAATAACTTGTTTTATGTACTTTAGATTGTAAAATTGGTTCTCTCTGAAGAAAGTTTCAGTTATTAAGATAGTTTCATGTTAATAAGACATTAACAATATTATATTTCATAAATAATAGTAATGTTTTAGATTTCGTTAGTTCACTGTTTTTCTTTTTTTTTATCATAGGTAATGGGTTAGCGGGTCAACCATCTTTTAACCAGCGTGGACCTCGACCATCAGTTTTTCACAACAATCAGCCTGCTAGAACACAAATTTTTATTGTTAACCATAACAACGGTACTAACAGTAAACCCCGACCCAGCAGGAGATAGTTACAAAGTCGTAGAAATCGGTTTATATCATAAAGTTTATGTGAAGAAGTTGACAAAAAGAAACATAATATGGATTAGTGGGTTGAATGGTTTCGGTTTGTCTTCCAAACAATGGGCTGTGATTTAGAACACTCCCTTTAGAATGAGGAAACTTGTATAACTGGAACACATTCTAGAGTTACTTTAATTCTTGTTTTTCAGAATGTACAGATGTATTTTTATGTTTTTACATGTATACATACCTTAACAACACTCTTTATAACAACATCATGCACAGCACGTGTGGTAAAGAAACCTTAGAATATCGATCAGGACTAAGCCTTGTCCTAAGAATTTCAGTTGGCCTAAAAGTCATGAGAACCAATTAATAGCTTGTCTGGTGTCTGTAGGATAAGATTTCCAGTTTTCTTACTTCAGAATCTTCAGTGACAGCCAGAACTTAGGAGCTGAACTGTGATGGTTATTTTTATGTTGTTTGTATTTTTCATCTCAATCATGTTTTAGAAATTTATGAAACAATTTAGTTCAAAAAAAAAGAAGAAAATAATTGAACAACTGATCATGATTATTTCCCAGTTTCTTGAAAAAGAAAAACGATGTTGTGTGTTTCAGAGAAAAAAAGGAAAACCAAGATTCATGAAATTTCCTTTTTTAAGTAAATAAGAGTTATTGTAATCCCTGCATATTATTCAAGTTGTAATGATTTAAAAATTTATGTCAGAAACTAGTGTTTCTTCTTTTGGTATCAACCGTTCTCAAGCAAAACAATTATGTTCTTAGGAAATCTGTTTGGACTCGGTTTGCTGTAGGTTTAGACGAGATGTACATAGGAACACACAAGAATAGGGTACACTTCATATGACCGTATGTATGGTTGAGTAAGCTTGCTGTAATCATGCGACAAGCTTCAGATTAATATGTAGAATAAAGTACAGGTGTTTCGTACAGTTCTTCAGATGCAGGACTAATAACTTAATAAACCAAAATTTTTATCAAAGCTTTAATACAGTAGGTTTTTCTTTTTGAAACTTGAAATTTCATTTCCTGATTATTGAGATAAAACTGCACTTATTAACTTTGCAGTTTCTGTTTCTTCTGATTTGATTTTAATCATCTTGAACTAATTACCTGAATTGAAAGAAGATAGAAAGCAAGTTACATGTGTGGAGTTTCAATAAGCAGTGACAATGTTGACTTTTTTTTTGTTTGCTTAGAAGATTTTCTATTTTCATATAAACATATTATATGTAAAGTAAGCTTGCAACAAAACAATTAATAATTAACAATCTAAATGTTCAAGATGAGACAGGTATCCACGAGCTGCCATGGGTTTCATTGAAGTCTTGTTAACAAGATGATACAGGTATCCACTAGCTGCCATGGGTTTCATTGAAGTCTTGTTAACAAGATGATACAGGTATCCACTAGCTGCCATGGGTTTCATTGAAGTCTTGTTAACAAGATGATACAGGTATCCACT